CATAAAACATTAACCATTCTGTATTGGTATTTAAAATGTGTTCTAAACATTCTAGAGGTGGACAGGATAGAAAAAACTTTTCTCACCTTCCTGCATTGGCATTGACAGTGGTCTATCATCCTGCAATGGTTTTGGAAATGTGGTACTTTGGCCGACTTGTTTCATGAGTGTCCGTAATATTTGAACCTGCTCATCCAACTGTTGCTTTGCTTTTGACATTTCAGTAGTGATTTCCAGAACATCTTGCATAACTTCATTGTCAACACAACTATCTCCATCAACGTTCCTATCGCCAAGTTTGCTTCTCACAACAGGCTCAATCGATGGCCTATCATCAACTGATTTAATATTTGCTAATTCAGTTTCAAGTTTGGTCACTCTCCATTTATACTCTTCTTCCATATCATGAAACTCAAATGCTAATTTCTCATACTTTTTCTTGAAATCAGACCCACTCACATTTGTCAGAGAGGTTTTCCTGTTTGCTGCAAGTTCTTTTTCCAGTGTCTTAATTTTCCATTTATATTCCTCCTCTTTATCCTCCATCTCAAATCCAAGTTTCAAATATCTCTTTTTGTAATCGTCTTTCTCACGCTGTTCTTTGACTATCATCTCATCCAACTCATTTAACTGTGTGGTGAGATTCTTTACTCTCATTGTTAACTGCTTGTTTATATCTTCGAGTTCTTTTATCTGTATTTCCATCTGCGCAATTTTTTTAGCATCGCCGTCTTTCTGTTGTGCGTGACTTTCTTTCTCTGTCTTCAGCTCACCACGTAAAGCATCTATTCTCTTCCGTAACCGTGGTAATTCATTCTGCAGAGAGTTCAACTGTTGGTGTACTATGTCTGATTCTTGTTTTCTGAGGAGAAGATCACTTTCATAATTTCGGATTTTGGCTTTAAGTTCCTGCTCTGTTTCACCTTGACTGGTATGTTTTTCCTTTTCAGCTACTTTTGGTAGAAGTACTGGTGTATCAAATCCACTGTCTACTATGTCTGTCTTATTTTGACTCACCACTGTACCGTTGGATGAAAGTTCCTCAAGTTGATTTACAATCCTATCATATGTTTCCTGATTCAATCCATGTTTTAGGGCACTTTTCATCTAAAAAGTAAATAGACAATATAAGTGTAAATCAGTCAAACAACTGTCATATAGGCCATGAAACAAAAAGTTGCATCATAAAAAATGTGACCATTCTGAAGTGTAATTTTCAGGAGCATCAACTGTTTCAACATGAAAAATTGCAAAGCATATTCAAAATGGGACTTTTAACCAATTATATTCACTAAAATAGAGTTATGAGATCGAAATCTGACAAAGGCATCTCTGCTTGGCATATCAATCAGTAAACTAGCAAGCAGTTTCAAAGAAATCAGAAGTAGCATTTTTACCAAAAACATTCACTAAAAATAGTGAATAGTTATCATGAAAAATTAGCAAACCTGAAAGAGACCGTCAACCAAAGATCAAACATTGAAACAATTAGACTGATGGTCTAAAAGAGTTAAGAAAAACAATTTATTATGAAGATTTGCTAAGTAGCATAATAGGGTTTAAACTACAATTAAAAGTTGTATGTACAAAAATGTATAATGTATACACGAATGTAATCTTCTCTATTTTCAAAACTGAAATCTACAATAATGTAAGCAACTGAATAAAAACAAACTTCAAGTCAGTTCAAGCTGAATTCAAATTTTGCACAACTGAGCATGTTACTACACATATACAATGCATTATGGGAGATATCTCCCATTGTATACAATACAAAACTACTGTCACCCTGGAAAATCACTAAATTATATGTCAATTTTTTGAAATTATTTAACAATGTCACTGATCAAATGTTCGGGATATGAGGAAATAATCTCAATATAGAAAACAGTAAATAAAATGTCAATTTATTTTTCATGACATTTCAGACATTCGAAAAAAGTCACTTTCGGTATCCAGATGGTATGAACTTATAATAATAATTAATAATGAAAGTATGATGAACCGGACGTATAATCTTCAGTTCGGCTCGAACTTTCTTAAACAAGCCAATAGCTGTGTTTTTTTGCCAATCTACTCTTACATTTCATCTACATTTTATTGGATAAAAGTTACCTTTGTGGCATCAAATTATGAATACAATGTGATTAAAAATATATATGTATATGCAAACAGTACCTGAGCAGTTACAAAATTAATATTTAAATGAAAATTCATGTCTTGGGAATTTAAATCATTATCATAAGTTTTTTTAGCGTATATAGCAATATTTTGTGTCCAAATCTGTCTACAATTATTCGCTTTTGGAATTAATCAACAGTATGTGAATTTTTTTGGATTACTGTCTGTTTTTTGAGAAAAATGGTAAAATAGTATACATAAAATTCATTTTAGAAGCAGTTTTCGTAGGCCACAATGAAAACACATTTCCTCGAATATGTAAAAATGAAGAAAATGATGATCTTTTTTCCTTTTGTGTAGCGTTACAAATTGATTACTGTGTGTTTACTCATACATTTGTGTATGGTAACACATACAGTGTTCCTTCTAAGCATATTTAACACTGAGTTAAGTTAAATATGACACTGACACAAATTAGGCTTAGATACAACACTGACCTCAAAGCTAATTTTGGCAGAGTAAGACGAAATAAATGGCAAAACACACATATTTATTCTAATAATTCAGCAATTTTAAAAAATAATTATTTATAAATGGTTCAATTAATGGAAGGATTGTTGTATACTATCGTGGCCACAAACAAATTTTCTTGATTTTTATGAATAGTTTGTGGTGACGATAGTACTGTCTACTTTACCTGTTCTGCTATTCTACTGATTTCATTCTTAAGAGCATTCACTTCTTGATTTTGTTGAGTAGTCATTATAGATACCTCTTGAATCAAAGACTGACGAGATTTCTTTGATTCCGCCAAATGTTTGGACAAAGTTTTTATCTTGTTCTCTGCATCTACCAGTTTTTTCTGTATAACTGTGTTAGCATCTCGAAGACAGCAGTAAGCAGTTTGAAGTGATTCACTGTTCTGATTTTGTAGTGTTGGTGAGTCAACAACAAAAACAGGAAATCCACTGCTTGGTTTTCTCGTATCAGGATCGGTTATTATACTAAAATCGTTATCAGAATAGTCAGGTGATTTTGCATTATTACTGGTCAAATCAATATTATCATTATCTTTAAATTCGGCCATAGTATATTATATTAACGCACAAACATACATCATTTACAGCCCCTGCAAAAAAAAAAAAAAAAAAAAAAATTAATAGTTCAATATTTCCACAATCCTTTATCAGCCAACAGTGTTTAGAATATGTGAACAGGGACAAATTTTCAAGATATAGCTATCAGCATTTTTTCTTACCCACCTACGACAATGTTATCTGGCGAGCATGCGCAGTACAACAGTGGAATATCCCATCATTCATCAGTATTTCTAGGAAAAACTTATCAGCATGGGTAATTCCCTCGATAGTTTTCTATGTCACATACATATTTATCCCTGTCACATTTTTAAATAGGGTGTGATGTGCATGAAAATGCATGCATTTAGTTACTTCTTTTTGTTATACTTTTATTACAATTAGCTAAAATTGAGATGTAGTTTCACAATACGGCGTAATAAAGTTATTATTATTATTATTATCTTGTGAATGAAATGAAAATGTTTCTTGTTAATTTTTCAAATGACTCACTAGAGTAATAAACTGGTCATCTATGTTACAAATATTTGCATTACTACCCCACCCCACCCCACCCCACGCTCAGCTATTGGGTTTAAAATAATAAAATTTATAGTGACGACACACAGACGAAATATTTCAAAATATAATAAACTGATTAGAAAGTTTTTTGAAATGTGTTATACATTTTGTAACTGTTCGTGCACATTAGCTTACTACTTAAAGTGTTAAAACTATTTATTTCGGGCAAAGATTTTCAACTTTTTTTTTTCATTTCCTAACTTTATTACGACATGGACCAGAGAGCTCCCTGCATGGACGTACTAACCTAACGTCCATGATTATGACTTCGAAGCGGCGTGACAACGCGTGCTCATGTGATGGATACGTGACAAATTGTAAAATTGTCAGTCAGGTATATAAAAATAGGGGAAAAATGAATCATCATATTTGCAAGGGGTGAGGCAGGTTCAATGTCCGCATTAACATTCATGATTGACAAAATTCAAAAATTAGTCCACAATGTATCGATCAATTTCAAATAAATTTATCGCTAACGAATTATCGTATACTGAATGGAAAAGTGATATTTTCAGCGTCTAAAATTCTTACCGTTACATAGTGTATTATTAGTGATTATTTTCGACCTGCGAGGAGCGTCAGTTTTATCAGGAAATGCCACCCTCTACTGGGAAGCCTGATACCGAGCCTGCCAACAAACAACGACACAGAGCTGGGGAATCCCCTCTCTGCTGAAGTTAGCTACAGATTCGGATTCCGACTCAGATTCCAATATTGATTGAGAGATTCGGACTGGCTGAAATAAAACACATACGATCATGCAATTCTACTATCACCGTATCGTCTTTGCACAATTTTGCTTTTTAAAATATGCGCACATTGCGCAAAGAAAATACCAACACACCAGGTGTCTAAAATTCAATTTACTACTAAGTCAATTACATTTTTCATTATTTTCTCTTTTTAACAAAACACATATGTTTTAAAACAACCAAGTAACAGAAACTAGAATCACATAAATACTGAAAACAAAAAAGATGTTTTCAGGAAATGTAGTGCTACTGTAATTTATTATAATACTACGAACCGAATAAGAATCTGAAAATGATTTGGAACCTGAATCGGAACCTGAATCGGAACCTGAATCGTTGAGGGCGAGCGTGAAGTTGAGGAAGGGATTCAGATTCACGTCAGATACTCGTCAATTCACGTACGAATCTGATTAAATCGATTTATAAACTTAAACTTCCAAACTCTCAATGTGCATAACATACTTATATAATTTCTAGTGAAACTCCTAATCTAAAATATCAATTATGATACTATGCAAATTACATTTTAAACAATTCTGCACGAACAGATCTGACGCGAATATATTTCCAACTTCACACTCGTATTACAGGAAGTAACTGTTAGTTTGTTTGTTCGCATTTGTGTTCTCGTAATGCATGTGGGCAACTTTACGATTCCGGCCGTTAGGTGGAGAATTTAAGGTGACTATGATATATATTGATACTTTATTTTTTTGTATCGTTGATTGTTAATTTAGTCTACGAAGTGATCAAGAAATTTAGTGTGCAATTCAGTCATTAGTAGCTCTAACGAATTGGAGATCTGGCGTAAAAATGGGTGCTGCACGTACATAGTCCAAAATCTAGTAGTAGTACATCACTCCGAACCATTACAAGTTTTGTCCCTAGAACCGGTAAAGCACCAATAATTTGTGTACACAGGCGTTCATTCAAAATAATAAAGACCAATATTAGTAATACCTTTGATAAATTTAGATAACAGTAAACCAAACCGTCTTATACGAAATTCTTGTGAGTGGTAGAAGACAGAATTTAATTCTGTCGATCTAAGTATGGTCGGTAGGATCTAGCAGCAAAAATAAAATGATTGCTTACAGCTTTGTCATCCATTTTGTGTCGAAATATTGCTAAGAAATCATAAAAACAAACAAAATACTGCTACATGTACTAGAATTTTTGCCAGGTTGGCGTGCAGTAGAAATATCTAAAGAATGGAAAATTGCAACAGCATTTTTTAATGGGAATTTTGAATGTATTTAAATCCTTTTTTCATAGTTTACTTATGTGAACATTAGCAAAACGTCTAGTTTTGAAAAATGTATGAAAAATGTTTGAATAAATATATAATTCTTGGTAAATCATTACTTTCGTCAAAAAGTGTCATTATCAGTTTTCCACATAAACTTTTCTTTGACTAAAAGTGGGTATGGTTTTAGTTTCATTTGATACCTGGTGACTTATGAAAAAGTTTGGAAAGGAGTAAGTAGTAGAGTAGAAAGTGAAAGATGCGAAGTTCAAGGTTTAATTTTACCTGTGCATAATCAAACAACTGTAAACCACTTTGACCAATTTTTGGTATAAATTGCAAAATTTAGTAGTGAAAAGGATGTAGTAGTGAAAATTTAATTTTTTATGACAAGGAGTCATATCGACTTTCATGAAATATTGTTCTCATTAACAACATTATTAAATCAAATTGCAAGAATTCTTAGCTGCAAATATTAAACAGTTTATGATAGTTCTAGATGCTGCTTGACCCGTGCAGTCAGACGGGGTCAAGGTGCAGTTTCACCACCGTGATCAAATTCAATGAGATTTTATGTTACTGTCTAACTTTGTTATTTGCTTTGAAAATTAATATACATTGTAATATATATTTTTTTTGTAGATCCACATCGTAGACATAATATATCAACACCTACGGTATTCGTGAGAGAATTGTTCTAAAACTATGGCAGCCTTCATTCTTCGAAGGGTTAATCATAATATGATAAGAACATTTAGTACATGTGTTCCACTCGGGATAAGAAATGCATCACTGCGGAGACCTTTGGCTCAAGTGGAACCGCTTTCTAGAATGTATGCTCGAAACTTATCCGTAGTACCAAGAGTAGCTAAAGGTCAGAAAAAACAGAATGAAACGCAAGTTGGTAAGGAAGCCTACAATAAAGTTAATGAGGCAAGTAGTGCTGAAGACCTCCTAGATGTGGTGAGCAAACATCAGTTGGATGGCAATGTCTCTGCATTTGCTGTTAGCCAGTTGAATCGTTACTGTAATAATAAGGAAATGTCGCGTGAGGATGTACGTAATGATCCACGATTTGAACAGTTGTGCCAGGTGATCGAACAGAAAGTAATATACTTGTCCCCCAGTAGTCTTGTCGCATCACTACGAAATTTAACTTACCTCGGTGTGAAAAGCGGGGAACATCTAATTCAATCGCTTGAACTTGAAATCAGATTTCGGTTACGAAAGTTGTCCTTCCAGCAGCTGACTTCGTTGGCAGTGTTTTATGTTAATTTCTGTAAAAATGAGTCACAGCAAGGCCTGATGGATGAGATAAATAAAATGCTGGAGTTACGCTGGACTGAGATTGACAGCGCGTGGACACTTTTACAATTGATGGAACGTGTGGCTCACTCCTCACCGTTGTTGATGGAGAAACTAGAAGACAAAGCATTACAGATGGCGGAAAGTATGGAATCAGAGGACATGAGTAGAGTCGCACTAGCCTTATCAAAGTCCAACCGAAGGACACTACCTCTGCTAAGAGCCCTAGCTTACCACGTGCTTCACCGTCATAAGGAGCTAGGCCTTCAAACCATGTGGAATTTCACCTATGCTTTCGCTAAACTAAACTTCTATCACTCGCAGCTAATGGAAAAAATTCAGGGAGAACTGCTGCAAAAAGTGCCAGACTCGACCCCATATATGATAGCTACCTTTGCATGGGCTTTCTCTTATAATAAATACCTTGATAAACCGCTATTTGATGCTATGTCGCAGTATATAGTATCAAATATTTCTCACTTCAAGCAGCTTAGAATATGTAGCATTATTATTTCATATGCAAGACTCAACTACCAACCCAGTGGTGACTTTTTTGAGAAGCTATTGACTGACTTTGATTTCAGTGCTCTCAGTAGTGATAAACTGGTGGATGTTGTGTGGTCTTTGGTTATATTACAACAAGCATCTGCCGAGTTTATTAGCCATGTACTTGCATCTCAGCATCTTGAGAAACTACCGGGTAGGTTCACATCACAATTACTTGCTTCATAGATTCCATTGGAGAAACCGTCTTTAGAGGACATGGCTATTTAAAATATGCATAAAGTAAATGTAATCACTACATTTAACATTCCAACTCAGAATAAAGCTGTGAACAGTTGAGTACCTACACTAGAATTGTGTCCAGTGTTTTCACTCACTAAGGCTTGGGTACTCTTGGTAAAACAGTTTAAAAGTGCAATCATGACATCTTGTGCAAAAAGTTATTTAAAAAAAAAAAATAAAGGTAGTAATTGTATTACAGAGGTTTCTCTATGGTTGAAATAGTTAATATAATAATTCAGTATACAAGAAAATGCATTATATATTTGTGCTTCTATTGGAGATGTGCATTTAATTGATTATCAAATATAGTACGCCTATGGGTTCTTCACACACCTTGTAATCAGTAGACAAAATATAAAAAATTCTACCTTGGTAGATTTCTCATATCGGTAACTTTTAAAAGTACTGTAGAATACTTTATTTTCGCTTGGAATTTATTTTCGCTATTTTCATTGAAGGAATGATTCAGTGAAAATAAAATTCAACCGAATGTAGATTTTTTCTCCTATATTTTACATTAAACTTGGCAAAAATCAGTGAAAATAAATTCCACACAAAACACCCAAAAGGTCTTTTCAGCGAAAATTAATTCCAGCGAAAAATAAAGTATTGTATTCCACAGTATAGAACGTCTATGGGTTCTTCACACACCTTGAAATCAGTAGACAAAATAAAAAAAATTCTACCTTAGTTAATTTCTCGTACCGACCCTGTAATTTTTTAATGTATTACTGGAAAGTTACTACGGGACGGCGCATGCTGAACCAAATGTCAAATGGTCTTGTGGTTTTCACACCTATGTGTAAACGTTTCCACATTGAAAAATTGAATGAATGTAATTGCATTGCATTGTGCATTGTGAATTAATTAACCTGTTGCCAAGACAACAATTGTATATTTTCATTGTGTTCCAAAATAGGCAGTGAGATTACCGAAGTGTAATTTTTTGTAGCTACGCTGGGTTGAAACGTGATAGTTTAAAAAGCTTAATGATATAAAAATCGCTGTTTAGAATATTTTGTCTAAATGTAGTTTGCCTACATTTCAGGTGTTTAAAATTGTCATGTATTCTTTTGATGAGGCTGTATGAGTAATTATGGTAACAAAATAACTATTTAGTATACAGCAAATGTCATTTTTGGTGTATATGCGCTTATATTGGAGATGCACTTCAAATAGAGTAAATACTGTATTTCAAATTATTTTGATGGGAGAGTCACTGTTGTCTTTACCTGTACTTTCACGGTTACTAGTTCTTCCAATAACCATGGTAAAATCTAGAAATATTTTTTGTTTTGTTTTACAGATGGGACTTCTTATCAGATACAGATGACCAGACAAAAGCTTTTACACATCAATACCGCGGCTAAACTAGAACAGCCAGACTATACTGGTCCATTTCTACCAGATGATTTTATGAAGCCAGCTGACAGTTTGATTAACCCTGGCAGAGAAAATGAGTCATTGTCCCCTTCACTGAATGCGGTAATGCAGTCATTGGCCAAGGCTATAGGTGGTGACAAGTACATAAGAACTAATGTATTCACGCCATATGGGTACACTATTGGTAAGACTATTGCAGTATTTATTGAGAATAATAATTCATCACGATTTTAAAAATCCTCCATCATCATGAAATGGTTTCTTAAATAGTAACATAATCTATTTGTTTGACAAATATAAAATACATTTAGATTTTAAAAACCTTTTTATTGTGTGGAAACTACTATGAATGTGAGTGGTGGAATTTAACCAATATTTGGTCAAGTCAGTGTAAAAGTGCATGGGGCTGGCAGGATAAGAGTTAAATTTGTGCACCTCCTGGCAAGAAGTCACTTTGTTGTCCACAGCCCCAGTAAATTCCACTACCAAGCCATTTTGAGACGACATACATGTATCATCTTTTCAGTTCAGATTATGTTTCAGTTTTTGCATTTAATTTAGTTCTATTGCGAGATTATGATTTTGTTTTTTTCAGATGCCGAATTCTTGGTGGATTCTAAGCTTACACCGCTACCGATAAATGATTACAAAACATTCTATCTGCCCGAGGACGACACAAAACAGGAAGTACCAGAAGATGCATACAGGTAAGATGCACGGTAGACATGCTAGTAATTTTCACAATTTTATGGCATTTGTGAATACTAAGTTTTGCAAAAGTAAACCAACATTTGGTTTTGAAGACCCCCTAAATACAAACTTTTGCAAAGGTCATTAACATTCCCTCTTTTAAGACCCCCTAAATACAAAATTTTGCAAAAGTCACTAACATTCCCTGTTTTAAGACCCCCTAACTACAAAATTTTGCAAAAGTCACTAACATTCCATTTAATAAGACATCCTTACTTCATCCTTAAGTCACTAACATTCCCTGTTTTAAGACCCCCTAACTACAAAATTTTGCAAAAGTCACTATCATTCCATTTAATAAGACATCCTTACTTCATCCTTAAGTCACTACCATTTTATGTTTTAAGACCCTTAACTACAAAATTTTGCAAAAGTCACTAACACTCCGTTTTAGTAAGACTACAAAATTTTATGATTTTCACTGACTTGTGGAATTCCGAAAAACTTGATTCATGTGTTTTACATATTAGTTACCATGGTTACCATGTCGGGCTTCTACCCTGTAGCTGTCATTACTCAACAGAAATAATCATGTGACTTCAATTATGCGTCCACTGTGGAAAACAGCTTCTTCTGCTGGGTTGTTGTATATTCTATCAAGAATTTGTGAGATAAGGATATACAAATGTCATAACCATATATGATTGATATATGATGATGATCTGACATGAACTGATCTTTATTGAGAGTGTTAGAAAGCGACATCACAGAATGCAGTTGCAATTTTATTGTATGAACGCAAAGTGAGCGAAATTATTACTGTATTCAAACATGCAAAAATCCTGCATTGGGGGTTGAAGTTAAAAGTTCAATTTGATTGTCTATTGGACAGCTTGGTGGATGAAAGTGTCTATTCATAGCAAAATAAATTACCACATATTATTATACATACCTCATCGTAAAGCCATAAGTTGCAGCGTGCCGTAATTTTGTGGTATTGCACTGGGTATTTTCATTCTACCATATTAGTAAATGCAAATTCCAAATATGGAGCGATTATGTGCGTTAGCAACCTCATGGCAGGCCCCAGGGTCTGTTCCAAACTTTTGTTCCAAAGTTTTACAAACTCTGAAAGCATTTTTGAACGCATCTGAGACAGGTGGATAAGCCCTAATATTGATGTCTGTGCATAAATGTACTTCAGTCTTTTTGAATCAGTTCTTTCACAGACTCAGCAAACTGCATAAGAATTTCGAGAAATTATCATCTCAAGATCATGCGTCTTCAATTCTCGTGAGATCTTCATCACATATCACCCTACTTGCATACCCTTATTTTATACATCCTTGATGATCTACAGTACAGTCCTAGCAAACTTAATTTTTAAATACATTTTTTTATCTGGCTCGAATTTAGCTTAGCTTAGTATCAAAATCACCACATATCTAAATTATTTGAGTGATCTGCCTTTAATATATGTCTCGTATTAGGATCGTAGGTCAATGGTACAAAAAATAGGTTGAAATTATGGATGGCAGTGACTTTAAAATTTTTTTGTGGAAAGATAAATTTAATTTTTGGAGTTGAGTTATGCTCAGACTGCAATGTATATAATTATAAAATTGTCACCCTGATTATATGAGGGTTGATGGATACCGATAACTAGTGAAAACAACACTACAATTTCCATTTGTTGTCATTTATAATCATTTCTTTTAGAATTGCTGTGATTAATTGGGAGTACAACAAATATTGTCAAAACAGTAAACAGTTACTTGGGAGATATACCATGACAAAACGTCACCTGCGAGG